AGATTATACAGTCAAAGTTGCCAGAAATATGAGTCATTGATAGATTTTCAAAATCAAATTCCTAAATTTATGAGAATCCATTTCAGATTTAAAAAAACTTCAGATTAAACCTGTTCAGCAATTCAATGATTATTGATATACCTTAGGAAGAGTTTCAAAGTAGGCTTCAGGAATCTCAATCTCTGCAAGCACCCCACTGTTGATCGCCATTGCGGCCTTCAGTATCTGGTTTGCACAATCTCTGCACTGCTGCAGCTTCTTCCTGGTCTCTTCAGACAGACCATTTGGAGGAACTCGTGGGCATGGAAGCCACCATTTCTCTTCCTGTCTCAGTGATGGCCTCCCAAAAGAAGGGTAGCCCTCGTCACCTTCTTCAATAGCATCAGCAACCATTATCCCTCTATCAACATACCAGAATTCAGTATTCCGGAACCCATCCAGCATCCCTAGGAGCATGGAATCTAGCTTTTTCAGCGCAGGAAGGTTCATGTAGAGATCAGGTCTTGGACGCGCTGCCATCACTTCAAATGTCCCGCCACCTGGAAACTCTTGCAGAGATGGGATGAGCTCTACGATTGAATCACTCACGCATAGCAACCATTCCATTTCCCTTATCCACACTGCTTTCTTCTGTGGGGCCAGCGGCTCCAACCTCCACAGTTCCCCGAACACAGTAGCTGAGGAAGTTTCTCCACAATTAAAACCTAGATGCAAGAGCTTAAAAGGTGCTTATTAAAAAGTTCATCTCACCGGATAAATTCGTAATGGCGTTCGAGATCGCCAGCGCGGTGCAAACTCCTTTCCCTCCGCCGGACATATCCTCCCCCAGTAAGAGTTTAGCGAATCTCTCTTTCATCATCTCGACCTCTGTAAGATTAGCAAAATGCTGAGCAAACACTGAAGGCGTAAACCAAAATAACAATCACATGTCTCTCTACAAGATCTGAAACTAAAAAGTAGCAGACGAACCAGACAAGTCTACTTCACGCTTCTCCAACTTTCCCTCCCAGAACATAGCATCAGCTTCGGGCATTGGCAACAATGCACGGCCCGCATCGGCTGCAGCAAGACCAGATTTCCCGATAACCAGCGGCGAAGATGCAAATGAACTCGAAGCACCCGCAGTGAAGCGCCGGCCGGAGAAGCCACTGGAGCTCTCAGACTCGCTAACATCTGCACTGGGACTGTAGCTCCCGCACCTCTCCTCGCTCTGCTGATCGGACACCTCCTCCGACGAAATGCTCCCCATCTCTCACACCCCTAGTGATTGATGGCCACCAAAACCCTAACACTACTCCTCCAAAAGCAGATCGCTCACCTCCTCCACACCACAAGTCCAGATCTCCCCCACTCCTCCGCCATTTCACATCCCCCAATGTAAGCTCTGCCTCAGCAGACAGCAAAGCCAGAGAAGGAGGCGCGCACCAACACTTCTGTGGCTCACTATGTCTCTCCTCCGCTTTCTCTCACTTCGAGCTCACTCTATCTCTCCCAATCTGGTCCGCTTTTTGCCGCGATGCTGGAAAAGCAAAAGCGACGCCGCTTGCCGGTTGAGGAAGGCTTACGGCCGCTTATTTAACCGCGATTTGTTATATATAATAATCATACTTAGTACCCTCTTAATCGCTTTTCAGTCCGCAATTCGTGCGAAGTGCTTCTAACGGTAGAGTTTCCATCGCAGCAGATCGTGGTGTCTCGTGGAAGCGATGATTGGAGCTCAAGGAGGCAAAGATGGTACCAATGAGTATGACCCATATTAATTATATTTATAAATGCAATGTCTTTTATAATTATAAAATTAATATTTTAAAAAAATTCAAATTACTATTATAAATTTTAGATATTTATATTAATGCAATGTCTTTTATAATTATAAAATTAATATTTAAAAAAAATTCAAATTACTATTATAAAATTTAGATATTTATATTTCTAAATTTTTTTAAAAAAAATTTACTTCAAAATATTAATATTAGTGATATTTTAATGTGATTTAGGATCAATATAAATGAATATAAAGATTTAGATATTAG